CAGGGGGGTTGGAACTAGATGATCTTTAAGGTCCCTTAAATAATAATTAAATAATTAAAACTTAGGTAAGGGTTAGCAAGCTACAAGAAATACTTACTTTGCCAGTCCCACACTATCCGGTGTTAAAGACTGATTCCCATGGCTTAGTCTCATTCCAGATCATATCAAAATAATGCCTTTTACACAGAACTCCATCAGCTCAAGCCCTACACTTTCTTAACAGGATGGGTCCCACTTTCCCCTCTCCACCATCCACCTGTCATTAAAACTCTTGTTTACACCAGCTCCAGTGTTTGCTAGACCCTGCACTGAGTCACCTGAAGTTGCCACACTGGAAGCAAAGAGCCACAAATCTAGCAATCAGAGTATATATAGTGGCCAGCAGCACCTTGGGCTGTACTAGCAAGAGTGCCACCACTAGATGGAAGGTAGTTTTTCCTCTTGACAATGTGGTCTCACCAGCATTTCAGAACTGGAGTGTCATGTCTGATTCTGGGCTGTGCAGCAGAAGAGACACACTGGAAGAGTCCAGCAAAAAGCAATAAAGATTAAGGGCTTGAGCACCTGAGAGAGCTGGGATTGTTCAGCCTGGATAAGAGAAGGCTTTGGGAGGGATCTTTATGCATATGTATAGATACTTATGTGGGACTGAAGACTGTGTCAGACTTCAGTAGTGCCCAGGGAAAGGATAAAGGGGATGAGTACAAACAGAAGCATAGAAATTCTCATTTAAACATGAACTTTTATTCTACCTGCAGTCAGAAACTGGAACAGGGTACTCAAAAGACATAGCAGAGTCTCCACTCTTGGGGATATTCAGAATCCAACTAGACCTAATCCAGCTGCCTAAATGCACAGCTGTGAATAGGTAGTATATTAAACTAGATCATTAAGAAGGAACCAGAGCCCCCTTTCCACCTTAGCACTTCTGAGAGTCAAAATTAATTTCTACCGATTTTGAAATTTAAGTCAGCACACCACAAGAATCCACCAAATGTCAACAGTGGCTCAAGCAGGGGTTTGAGGGACAAAGAGCACACTAGCATGCTTCTGGACCTCATCTAGTACAAGTAATACACCTCCACTTCAAAAGAGCATCCAGCTTTAAGTGATTGTTCTCACACTATTTAAGCTACTGGCTACAAAAAATGAGCCAAATTAACTCGAGGTGCAGCTAAAGCTTTGCTTCTGCCAACTTAATTGTGTAAGTAAGAACACCTGTAGAGCTATAATGGTTCTTCTTGGGGATTCTTCAGCCAAGACCTTGGGAAATCCCCAAGTAGAGATTAATACCTTTAGGCCATTCACAAGCCTGTTAGGTAATGACCTCCACCTAAAATGAGAAGCAGTCAACTTCAGTTGTAGTTTTCTGTCTCACAGATATTTTAAGCCATTAAATAGTCACAATCCCTTCAGATTCATGCTTTACTAGAACAACTGAAGATCTAATAGCATACTCTGTATCAACTCAGACAAGAGCTGCATAAACAAGATTGAGCATGAGACTCATTTCAGCATTTTCCATCCATCATGGATGCTCTGCTGGCATTTAGTCCTCAAGGTCACCTTAAAAGTGCTCTTTAGAAGATTTGGGCTTTCAAGGTATTTTGAGACAAGATTTAATGTTACAACTGGAGGATAATTTTATTTACATGTAGTAGCATCAACTCCAACTTCTTTACCCTGTTGAAAAACCTTGTTACCATAGTAATTTTACAGGACTGTAACACCAAAAAATTGAACTTAAAAGCAGTTTTGCATTTGCTTTTCCCAAGCAAAATCATTACAAGGCAGAACTTTTTGTTCACCCATGAGATGAAGTTGTCAAACTGCCAGTGAGAATGTTTTAGTTCAAACTTAAAATTAAATGTATAACTCACATAAAGTAGTAAAACATTGTTCTTCCCATTATACTACAAAGGAAACTATAAGAGTTGGCAAAGTTCCCATCAACAACACAGGAGACTGATCCTGTTTTTTGAATTGTATTTTTCAGAACTTTTGAAAAAGGAAGAGCAGCATCTTTCAACTCATACCAGTTAGTTACCCAAGGGCATGCACCTAATTGCTTGTTCTGCCCACTAAAAGGGCTGTTTATTCCCAGGAAAGCTAACCTTCAAACTCAAAGGTCTTGCAGCAGCAAACAGCCAGTCAACCAAGTGACAGAGATACTTCCTCCTCCTAACTCCCCTGCGAGATGACAAACTGTCTCAGCTTTCATTATCACACTTCTAAGGACTTTGGTTTTAAATTAGGGACTGCTCTTTGCTCTGGTTCACAAGTCCACCTCCTGTTTCAAAACACTTCTCTGGATTATATCACAAGCTTGAAGCACCGCCACTGGAAAAGTCCTTCACTGTATAGCCAGTACAACAATGGCTCCTGCCACAGAGCCTAAGCAATCTTCTGCAAGAATTCTTGGGTAAGGTTTGTTTTAGTGATATTTCTCAGAGAGCAATTCTTATCTCAAGTCAAAGAGACTAGTTTTCTGCTGTTTTGCACCATATCAATACAAAGATACCTTAACTATAAGCAAGTTTGATCTGACAGTCTTCAAGTAAGTTACAGCCATAGTCCCTTCATTACATTTTGACTTGGTCTTTTTTTCCTAGTGGTATGCAAGGGCAACTAGGAACAAAGAATATCAAAATGCAGTAAGTAAAAAGAACCAAAATAACTTCAAGAACTGAGAAGATTTCAAGCAGAGTATCTAAAATCAACATAGTCCCTCAAGTCCCTTTGAGAAGCTACAGGAGGCTCAAGCATATTATATTGTCAGAAGTCTCTTCCAGGACAAAATTTCTCTTCCAGATGGTATCATATACTGGTGCAATGAGTAACACCAATACTACCAAGCTGCTTGAAACAATGCTTTGTCATATACTCCCTCACTTCTCCTGTTGAAAAGTCACAAACTACTCCAGAAAAACTAAACCGTTTCTTTCCAAATAGTTTTTTTTTTAATTGGATGTCAGTAACTAACACAATTATTTCATCAAGACTTCAAGAACAGACACCTTGTTTTCCCCAGTGAACATGAAGGAACACAATAGCGAATTTCAAGTCATGATCAGACACTTATTTGAAGCAGGCCGGTTAAAGCAGTTCACCACAGTAAGTGTCAATATTATTAAAATAGACTTGCAGTTTATCTTCTGGCACATTGTTTCCCAAAAATTACACTTATTAGAAGGGTGTTTCTATAGACATAAGTCCACAATATTTGTCAAGTACAGCTATGCAAGTCTTCCACGATATTTAGCATGTCTTCTCCTAGGACCAGGCCGTAAAGACAGGTAGCTGCATTTGACACGTGCCTACTAATTTCCTAGAAGCCCAAGTCACTGTGACAATGATTCTGTATCAAACACTTGCGGTAAACAGAACTCCATGCAAAAATCATCTAAGTTACACCAAATACTGCATTTTGGATAAATTCTTGTTCAAGGACTTTAAGCTAGGATCCACTATACAATAAATAGAAGTATTTTCTGAGGTCAGCAATAGTTAAGAAAAAAAAAAAGGAAAATCAGAAGCTTAGCAGAGACTTTAAGCACACCATAAGAGATCCCCATAGAGTTTAGCAGGCAGTCCTTGCCACAACATAGTTGCAATATGCTTAACATGTGGGTCAAGAGGTCCCTGTCTACCTCACAGAAGACTGGGGTCTACGGATGGCATCCTTTCACCATTCACCGAACTTTACCAAAAGTCACTGAACGTTAAGCTGACTTAAACAGGTAGAATTTAATTACTAGAGGAAGAGAAACAGAACACCGCTCCAGGTTACTGTCAATTTTCAGCCCAATTGTGGTACAGAGGAAACTGCCATTGGACAGTTTCCAGTTATAAACCTCTCTGAAAATTATTTTCCTCCCAAATTCAAGCTAACATGCTGTTTCATAGCATCTGCCAATCACTAATCATTCTTCAGTCACTCAAGTATTGGCAAACACATTCTACAACAACTGGTTTTACAGCAATTAACATACTAAGCCACTACGGCTTCAAAGCAAGCAGTAAACTGGTTTCCCAAGTAAAGCTTATAGGCTACTCAAGTCCCGCTTCAATATACAGTTATTTCAAGCTTTGTTCTGAAAGGTACCTCATTTGTCATTCTACCAGTACAAAGCCATTCTACTTTTTATCAGTTTAGCCCAGAAACCAGTTGGGTGTGAGAGAAAACAGTGTTCATGGGGACTAATAACATTGTAAAACACACCCCAAAAAACAAACCCCATGCTTTTCTACATTTAGTGACAGTTTTGAGTAAACTGAAATACAGGTAGTAAAGTAATCCTTAATATTCTAAATCAGTTGAACTACAGACTCCAACTTCTTGCTACAACTTGAAGTGACTTGACTGAAGGCCAGTGACTAAAGCATACTGATTAGTCATACTGTAAGTTGGCAGTATACCTACAGAAGGCAAGACCCATGAGTTATCACTGCATATTCAGGAGAGATAAGACACTATTGGTATTCATGTCTAAGTACAAAAGGAGATTCATTCTGTTTGGTTTTGGTTTTTTTAAATGCCAAGACCCAATACTTTTGAGGATATGAATAGAAAAATGGAATAGTATTATAGGAATGGAAGAATTATTGAACTTATTCCTTCTCAGCTTTCATGTCACTACGCTGTGCAACAGCAGCAGGGGACTAGACCTAATGATGCAAGAACTGCATTAAGTTGTGGTTTTATGAAGGAATGATGGAGACTTCTGAAAAATAAGTTACCTATTACTGTTCACTTCAATGTAGCTCTAGTTATTAAAGTATGCATCAATTCCTCAAATTAAAAATCACAAAAGAAAAATATTTTTAAAACCATCTTTAAATCTCTACCACCATCTGGAGGATATGCTATGAAATAAAATATTAGTCCTACAGTATTTCAAGTAGACCTGTCCCGATAAGGGCAAAAGCAGTTTCAGGTTTAAGCTCAAATCTATTTCAAAAATTAGTTCAGGCTTTACCAAGAGACATCCTGTTTTAAAAAGGAGACTCAGTTGGGCAAAAACATCTTACGGAAATTCATGCAGTCTCACAAATCTATAGGAAGTGTACCACAGAAGAGTTTGAAGACTCTTCCACATAAGGAGTTGTAAAATGCTTGGGCTGTTTTAACAAGACCACAGCAACCTAACAAGAGTAAAAAGTAAACACAAAGAAATTCCACTATTCTATAGTGAACAATCTTTGTGGGAGATAAACTAGTGTTTAAAAAACTTCCTTTGTGAAATCAGAGAAGTTTCTTCACTACTTTTGGCTTTAGGCTTCAGTCAGCATGAAACTGCACACATTCTAGTTTGTTGCTATCACTGGCAGGCAGTAAGTATTCTCTAACTTGGCAAAAATGTCCACTATGTAGAACCTATTATTTCCCAATAAAAAAAATTCGGAAAAGCCAATCCATAGTCTTCCAAGAGACAAAAACCTCAACACTTAAGAAATGTGACCAAAAGCAGGTAACTCTGAGTCTGTACCACTGACCAAGGCAGGCATTTCACTCAAACCATGATAAGCATCACCCTTAGCCACCTCTTACATGTATTTGTTAATTGTAGAATTTTTCATAAGGGAAACTAAAATAAACTGATCTAAAAGTACAGAGGCTGAGTGAACAGTTATTTTATTAGATTCGATTCCAGTTTTCTGTTTCAGTTTTGTTTAGGGTTACCTCTTTGGAATCAACACCTTTATGCTCTATTACATAAAGCTCTTCCTTTGAATATGGTAGTTGCTGAATCTGAACACCTAAAACAAGTGTTAGACTCACATTTGCATAAAATTTTATATATGGTAGGCAAGTTTCCCATTGCTGCCTATGTTAAATGCCATAAAACTTACAGCAACACCTAAAGTCTCCCCTTAATGGGCCTCTAAACACAGACAGAGGAAACATGTAAACAGTATGAGAGAAACCATTAGCCTTTTCATGGATTGGCCTTCAGTATGTTTGCATTTTTAGGGGGCTCCTGAAAGTAAAAATTTCACTGAAGGGCACTAAGTGTAAAACTAATATTTAACCAGAAAGGCATAATCCAGCATGACCTCTAAACTTCATGCCTCCACTTAAACATCCTATTAATTAAAAAAAGTTAAAAAATACTTACTGTAGTATCCATAAAGTACAGTGTCTTCAATTTGTCTTGAAACATTAGCATCAGCCCAGTCCTAGTAATAAAGAACAGAAGCATTTAATAAATGAAACAGATGAATACTTCATTCAATAGGATTTTTAAACTGAAAAAACACTCATTAAATACCTAAGGAAGAGTTACACACCCAGTTTGTACACTTTAAGTGTTGGAATTTAAGTTAGAGCTAAATCAAAGATGGAGCGTGCTGCATTTCAGGGGACAGATGCTGCAGTGGTATCCTGAATGCTTATACTCACTTTGGCTGTTAACCTCAAACTTAAAGCTCTATTTTTTCCAGATTAAGAATCCTTAGTTACTATACATTATACTGTCAATGTACAATTGAAATAAAATTAATCATTATAATTTTTAGCAGCTAACAATTTACTTCTGTTCTGTACTAATATTTAAGTGGCATTCTAAATTCCCTATTATATGAAACTGACTTTTAATTCCTGTGTATCAGACAGTGCAGCTACTGAATCTGAAGTTCAATCTGAATAGTTTTTCAAAATGTTTCATACAAGACAACTGGAGGTATGGCTATTTGCAGTTCTAGTACTATTTTTTGGACTCTGAGCATTGCAGGAAACACTAAACTTCAAAGTCAAGGCCTTGCAGGGACAAAGGTGTCCTCAGTATGACTTTTCTACAAAACCCAACACATGATGATTTGGAAGCAGTGTGGTACATTAGAAATTACTGCAGACAACTAAGCTGTATGAGTTACCCAACCCAGTAGTGGGATTCATTGGATTTAAATTTATAATTAACACATTTACATCTGCTTTATAACTCCAGAAAATATGCATGTGCAAAGCATTAATGGAGGGACCCAATCAAGTCAAGGATCCACTCATTCTGAAGTCAATACCTCTCAAAGAAAGCACTAGTTTTATATCAATAAGGCTGACACTGGAAACTGCTAAAAGAGCATTCCCCAAAATCCCACTTGAGGCCAAGAGCCACATTACTGAATTTCAGTCACAGAAACAGCACCACAAACTAGAGTTTGGGAACACCTAGAAAGAAAAGTCAGACAATCAAAATAGCATTTTTTAGATGCAGCTCAACAGAAAGGGCAGTCAAATTTGATAAGCAGTATTTGCTTTAGAACTTCAAATCAGGAAGAAAAATTAATTCTGCTCTGACAGCCCTAAGGTATCAAACATCTACTTTTCAAGCATGTAAGTCTGGATATGACTAGTATAGGAAGACCCATATCCTTCTGAGAATCTCTACAATAGTTCACTTCCAGTTACTACTGTATTTGGCAATACTACAAGGGAATCACTCATTAAGGAGCACAAATAGATTAAAAATGCTACTTCTAAAAAATAATTGGCTAGAGTGCTAGCAAAGTGCAAATGACTAGGCATACAGGAATAAGCATAACAGTTTCATAAAGGGAAGATTTTACAGACCAGAAAAAAACAAAGTAATTTTGGCAGCTTACAAAGGTATTGTGCTAATTCCCACAGTATCTTGATAACAGGGTCTCTTAAAATCATCATTGTCTGGGCTGGAAGGGACATTCAAAGATCATCTAGTCCAACTCCCTGCCATGGGCAGGGACACCTTCCACTAGACCAGGTTGCTCAAAGCCCCATCCAGCCTGGCCTTGAACACTTCCAGGGAGGGGACATCCACAGCTTCTCTGGGCAACCTGTTCTGGAGTCTCACTACCCTTACCATGAAAGAAATTTCTTCTTTAAGTCCAGCCTAAATCCAACCCCTTTCAGTTTAAAACTGTTGCCCCTTGTCCTGTCAACACAGGCCCTGGTCCAAAGTGCTTCTCCATCTTTGTTATAAGCTCTTTGTATACTGAAAGGCTGCAATAAGGTCTCCCCAGAGCCTTCTCTTGTCCAGGCTGAGAACCCCAACTACCTATGGCTAGGATTTATATATACAGATATAATGGTACTTTGACATAAGAATAACAAATAGCCTTGTTATCCTCAGTTGCAGGTTGCAAGCTTTTATTTGTATTAGTTATCCACTCAGTTTAAGCAATCATCTCCTCTTCCAGAAGTATGAGCCTTTATCTTTTAGTTTCACCAAGACTTGAATTACCTTCAGAAAATAGTACCTTAAATCAGGTATTAGAAAAAAGTAACTGGATTATTTGATACCATGCACACTGGCAGAGCTTACACACTGTGTGTAACACATGTAACACATACTGACTGTATGCTACTCTTGAGTTTCTGGCCTAAGCAATGAAGCTCTTTACATAATACCAGAGGGCAGACTGTTTTCCTGAAGTTCCCATCTGAACAGCATTATTAAAATACTGAGATGCTACCTTACATTAAGTGTTCAAGGCCAGGCTGGATGAGGCTTTGAGCAACCTGGTCTAGTGGAAGGTGTCCCTGCCCATGGCAGGGCGGTTGGAAGTAGATGATCTTTAAAGGTCCCTTCCAACCCAAACCATTTTGTGATTAAAAGATACAAAGTTGCAAAGATGTGTGTATTTCAGCATCGTGTCTATGTGCCTGAACTTACCCAGTTTAATAGTATGTCATATCTTTAGGTCATTTTTCAGTCAGCTGCTGAAGCCCCACATTTACACAAGCTAAGGATGTAAAAATCCTTACTCTTACTGGCAAGTTATCCATATGCACACACCATCAGCAATGAAAAAGCAATAACCACTTCAGCTGAGCTGTTTGAAAAGCTGGTGACAGCAGCACTGTTTTGTCAAAAGCAAGAAGCATTGCTATCCAGTGAGTCGTCAGAATGTCTCGAACATTCTCAGCAGCAGCGCTGATATATCAAGTTGATAGGTTGAATTTACTGCACAAGCACACAGAACTTGGATGAGAACTCATCTGGATAGCCTCTAGATCTAGTCTGTTTTCTTCTCTATCCGTTATGACTCAAACTTACAATATAGACAGCAAATACCTTAGAAGCACAATAGATTAAGAAGGTGAGAGTTCATTGCTGCCTTCAACAGCAGTTGAAGATGTGAAAGTGCGACCACAAATTCTCTTAAGATCTGCAGAATTCAGGTACTCTGGCACTGTTTTGCTATACTTCATTAGTTTCTTGCAGTTGAGCAAGCAAACATGATGCCACCTTTAAAACACCAGTAACAATGCACTGGACTGATAGATAAGGGAATCAACAAATCCTAAGGATGTGCAATGAGTATGATGGCTATTATTCTTAAGTATTCCTTAACACCAGCCATGCTGGAGGATTCAGGAAATGTAAATACAGTTACAAGTGTAAAAAGTAAATAGATTAGTAAAGTGTTGCTATGTAAATAAGGACATAAGAGGAAATTTAAGATACTTCCAGCTTACCTAAATGCTAAAGCTAAAACAAAGCTCCCTCAAAAGATTCATTTTACAATTAAATTCACAGAAAAACATATTAAGAACAGTTGCTTCTGCCAGTAATCACTCAGCAGTTTTCCTTCTCCCAGCAAATGTGTCCACTGAGGGATTTACATTAACAAAATTCAACAGAACGGTACAGATCACTTCCCCAAAGTTTCTACCTTCCCCACTTTTTGGATAGAATGGCCATCAAGTTCATTCTTTTGTCCCTGTTAAAGGGGACATTTCTACTATCACTGCTGGAGCCTACAAAAATTTAGTGAGTACCAAGTGAAGATACATTCTCTGCAGCTGCACCTTAGAGCTTAAAGGGGCATGATGTTCCAGGTTTCAGTATTTGCGGTGTTTCAAATGTAGATGAAGCTGTCATTCTGCTGATTACCCTCTGCCCAAGGCTTCAGCAACAAAAGAAAAATACAATAACAGAGACTGTAGAGTGGGTCATAGCATGGTTAGATACAAAGAAATTTCATACCCAGGTCTCCAATTTCCAGCCTATTACCTTAAAAATGGGACAGAACCAAGGTTCTGACTACCAGATGGAGAATCACATCCAGAAACATGCATGTCTCATCCACATCTGGCTACCATGAATATTTTGGCTATATATTGTTACTTCACAAGTAGCAATTCCTACTCAAGACAGGAAACATGGTCTCAGACAATCATCTTTTCTCAGCTAACACCTTTCTAGAATAAAAAATATCTGATATTTCTAGTGGTTCTGTATTCTGAGCAGCTACATAATGAGTTTCCCCCAAGATGCAAAAAAAATCTTTTTTAGAATGGTCTGCAAAAAGGATCTCTTGTTAAACAGATGCTAATCCTTGCATCATTAAGGAGACAACTGACTTTTAACAGCTCAGGCAGACACCCAAGGTTTGTGAGGTGTACAGTCTAACTAGACTAACAGAAATGCCACTGGCTTTTAACTTCATGTAGTAGCAAGGAGCCATACATTTCAAAAAGAGTTCTCATCACCTCCCCTGCCTTCTGCTGCATCAGCAATAGATTAAAAAACACTGTGGTGACAACAGCATCCTTGTTTTAAGCAGCCTTCCTGCTGCAAGACAGCATCAGCTGTGTTTTAAATATTTATGAGACTTGTAGGTCAGACCCAGAGGTCTTGGGTTCCAGCAGCAATCTTAAGTCTTTAAGCTAGGGTGAGGTTTTCTGTTCCCAAGTGCTTGTTATAAATCAAACAAGCTTTCAGATCAAACATATCAGATCCAACTGGATATATTTGAAGTGCATTGCACAAACTAAAGCACTGTCAATGCAAACAGCCAAAACCTTCAAGATAAAAGTGGTGCTGGTGAATATTATCAGGACTGCACTTACAAGATAATACTCATGTTCTTTTTTGGTTAGTACTAGAACCAAAAGCCTGCTTTCCTACTTAACAGCGCTATAAATCAAAGTAATCCCAGCCTGCAGAAGAGGTGTTGTTGCAATGAGTTCTATTATCCACAGGAATAATGACCACCCACAAGCATGAATCACTGGTCATTTCCTAAAGGACTATACAACTACTTTGCAAAACCTTCTAATACCAAAACTGCTCAACACAGTGCCTATAGAAAGCTTTAAGACAATACTTGATAAGTCCCACAAAACACCGTGAAAGACCCCAACAGGTACCAAACACCACAAGCCATTTGTTTATAGCAAACAACATGTTGTTCATAGATCTCTAAATAAAAGGTAAGTTAAGTCCTGTTGAAATGGACAAAACCTCAAGGTTAACAAAGGCTGACCAAGACACAGCACATGACCCTTATCAAGGAAGACACCTTGAAACACATGGTGGGAAAGGGCTACACAACACTGTTTAAAGTGAATTCATCCAGAAAGCAGCATCATTTCGACAGCCTTCAGAGAAGGATAATCTGCATGGGTACCAAAGGCAATCAGACAACTAAGCCCGTCACTGTAGCCAGGACACACACGTCACTGTAGCCAGGACACACACCTTCACTTGCAGCTGACCACACAATTCACAGTGAGAACTTTGAGCCATCAGACTACGCCTGCAATTTAACCTGTTATTATCCTCAACTGTTTCTCCCCAAGTTTGCTACAGGTTTGTTCACAGAAGAACCTCAAGAGTATCTGAGTAGATAGTAGGGTCAGATGCATTAAAAATTAACTAAAAGTCCACTTATAGTACCTCTTCCTCATAAGTTAAGCATCCTTTACCTTCTCATCTCTGTAACACTGATACTGGGAATTACAGTTGGGAGGTAGGGAAGAGAATGCATACAGAAGAAAATGTTCACCTAGGATGTGGATAACTGCCACAGGTCTTTTGGAATGAGCTCTAAAATCATCTACTTGGAAGGTTTTTTGATGAACTAATGATTTCTTTACAGAGAATTCTTATCCACATCTGCTGCCTGGATCTGCCTCAGAAATTCACTAGGAAGAATCTAGTGAAGACTTAACTCACTCTGGCCATCCAAAACAACAAAGGGTTCTTGACAGAGTCATAGGTCCTTCAGGCCCCAGCATCAGGTAGAGGGCCTTGGAGGTGCTGGGTTTAAAAGTACAGCCCAGAGGAAGGGCAGCAGTCTCCTGGAAATACTCTGAACCCAGTCAAGTCTGTCCTACTTGTAAAGGAGTAACAGAGAAGCATATTACCCAGGATAGCATCAGAAGCTTTAACACTTCCAAAAGATCTTATGTTAAGATGCTGTCAACCTCCTAACTTGACATTACTCCCAAACTGATATTACCAAATAACAAAGCTGTGTGTTTACATATAGGTTTGTATGTTCTGACTGACTTAGATTCACTCAACTTTATCAAGAAGCCCACATTAATATTTCAATATCACAATTTCAATACATTTGATCCAACACAGGTGTTAATATCAGATCTCCTGTTATTGCTGCAAAGCTAGAAACTCATTCAGCCGAATCTTAAGAAAAAAAAAGGAAGAGTTCTTCTACAAGGCAGTATGGAATAATTTAGTTCAACAGGCCAAAAGCAGCATCTATAAACATTAGGAACTAAGCAGGACCATGAAGCCTCAGAAGCATAAACAAAGCTACTTTAAAAGAAATAAAAGCTTTACCACAAGCATGAAAGCTTTTTTCATGTACATCTTCTAAACAGAATATACCTGCACCACCATATCACAGCATGTGGCCAGTTACAAATAAACAGTAGTTAAGTTATGGTAATCTTCTATTAAGCACATTTCCTTAAGCAAGACTATAGTGACCACATTGGCTTCCTATTCTCCTCACAGGTTTGTTTCTGAAATCAGGGAATGCATACAGTAACAAGATAGGTCTCCCTTGCAACAGGAAATTCTGCTTAGTCCCCAGCAGATGTGCATTTTTCAGCTGGGCCTAGTTACATCGTTATTTCTCTAGCTAGTCTGGCTCAATATATTTCATAATATTCAGTATTATTCTCATTGAACTGCTGGTATCATGACATACAAGAGGCTTCTATCATCTACATCCATTTTAATTCTGAACAAACAAGGTCTGAAGACAAAATTTTAAAGATGACATTGAACAATAGTTTAATTTATTCTGTATTACCACTGAGCAATAAGTACAACAACAACACAAGCCACACCACAACTCAATTCTAAAGACTTCTTGTGACTTGCACTTGCATGAGCACCAGCCAAAAGGCACTGCATTGGCTACAAGCTAGTTCTGTAGTATTACCAAGGATCTGGCAGGACTTAGGTTTCCCTTTGGAAGTAGTGCTGAAGGGACTACTTTGAGTAGTAGTGCACTACTACTCAAGTCTTTGAGTCTAGTGTGCAAGCATTTACCATCTGCCCACTCTTTCATTTGTTTCAGGATCATCTCTTTTACTACACATTCAGGTAGCCTCCAAAATCTAATAGCTGTTATTCAAGTTATTAACATGCTCCTGTTTGTAACAGTAGTATCCTCAAAGACACTGGGTCACTACCTTCAAGAACCCTCCTTGCAAATTAATAAGGCCAATGCTTTAAGCACTGCGAAGAACTCTCACTTACACCAATGCTTAGAGCAGGCCACATTAAGTACTCATCGCATTAGGAGCTCATTTCGCACTGCAACCCCCTACAGTTTAAGCTTATAAAAACAGTATTCAGCTAAGGTGGTGTCACCCAAGAAGACAAACTAATGTATTCCCCTCCCCAAGGGTTTTTCCAGCTTTCCTTCTTTAAAAAAAAGTGCTTATTAACTCCTGCTCTACACTATAGGTAGATGTCATGGTTTAACTCTGGCTAGCAAAACACCCCGAAGCTGCTCTAATAGATCCCCCTTCCCTTCCTCCAGTAGAGGGGAAGAATGGGGGGGGGAGGGAAAACCCACAAGCAAGGAAGCTCATAAAATTGAGATAAGATCTATTTACTAATTAATTCTAATATATACAAATACTACTAATAAGTAATTAAAATAAAAAAATTTAAACATACAAGTGCTCACCACCCACAACCAGATCCCGAGAAGTAAGAGTCAGACAGCCTGAAAGCCAGAACCCAAGAGCAATTGCAGATTTCAAGCAAGCCCTAACAGAGGCAGTACAAGCCATGAAAGCTAACAGAACCACCAACTCACTCAGAAACAAGCCAGAAAAGGAGTTACCAAAGCAACTAACAAGAGTTAAGAGAGAGAATGTTAGCAAGTGTAAGAGTGAGAGTGTAATGGCTGCCAGACCCCATTCCCACCTATGTACTTCCCCCAAAGAAATACTCCCTTGGTCAGTTTGGGTCAGCTGTCTGAACTTTATGTCCTCCCACACCACTTGGGGTGAGAAAGTTGGGAATGCAGCTGCAGTATCAGAAGCTGAGAAAGACCTTGAATTCAGTGCAGGCATTTCCCAGCGCCAGCTAAGAACTTATCAGTGCTGCTCGCTGCATCCAGGAACACAGTTTCCTAGCAGCCACAGTAAAGAGTTAACTCCTTCTGAGTGAACCCAGCACAGTAGATTAAGACTTATAAATATTTACTGTGTTAATGTTTCACTACCAGATTGAGAACTCTAGGAAGAAAAAGACAACCAAAATAATCTTAAGCAGCAAATGGGCAATAGAGTCTCTTTTTGAGCAAAGGGGCAACAAATTCCACTCTAAAATGCCCCATCATGATGTACTGAAAAGGAACATTGAAGAGATTTCTTTATCTCGAGGATGGCATACACGTGCCTTTTAGCACAATAGAAGGAACAAGCATTTGGAGATTAGTAGAATATCAAAAATAAATGGCAAAAGCGAAAACTGAAATTCAGTTCAAGCAACAAACAGAGCTCAGTGTTGTATTCACAGTACTAGTTCCCAGCTTTCCAAGAAAGCTGGGCACTAGAACAGGTAGTAGCATTTGTTTTGAACACTTCGACAACACAAGAACATCATCTTTCAACACAAGAGTTTCTTTGAAAAGGCAATTAACACTTTTAATATGTCCATACCTTAAATGTACCATTTTGATTTTTCATATAAGAAACCAAAAAGATGTCCACTGGTAATAATGCTGACGAGATAAGAGCAACTGCCAATGCGAAGATAGCCGTTATGGTAGAAATCACTTCACTTTCTCGACGACTCTGATACTTGCGCACATAAACCCAGCAGAAAATTAAAATAGCCTGAAACATACAGGGAAAGACGGTTACGAGTTGAGTAATAAGGACGCGGGAAGGCAGACACTGAAGTTAGACCCTGCACCTTGGTGCTAAAGGCTGGCACTGCTCCAACACTTTTTACCCGAGCCCCAAACATCGGTGTTACATTCGTCACGCGCAGTTCTCTCCGAGTACCTTCGCTAAGAGCAGCTTAAGCAACATCAGCACTCCCACACCCAACAGGCAGCGCTGACAGACTAGGAGGGAGCGCAAGCCACCCCCACGCCCCCAGCTTGCCGTGCAGGGGATTCAGGGAAGGGCTGGCTGCCAGGGCCAGCGGAGGGGCCACGGGCCGAGCGAGGCGGCCGGGCGGGGAACCCAGAGCTAGGACAGCGAAGGGCCGCGGAGGCAGGAGCAGCC